CACATTCCTGAAAAGAGGCATAGAAGCTTGCGGGAAACCACTGTCGAATGAAACTATTCACAAAGTCATCATATTTTGTTGAAGAACTGACGCACTCAGCCGTAAAAATCTCGGCTGTACAAATCACTGACGAGCCAGTATAGCTAGACAGTCACATACGATGATAGAGCTACTCTCATAGCGTAATATTACTCAGCAGGGCATTACACAGTTGAAGAACCAATGAAGAGGCTTCAAATATATGACCACACATGATCACGACAGAATACATTGAGGGGTGTGCGCCATGTCTCAAAAGCAAAATTCACGACTAGGGTTATCACCCAATACAATCAACAGCAACTGTATTTACCGGGGATAACATTCAAGTGAATACCATTGGTTCCTTGTTAGAGTTGGATAGAGGTGACAATTTTTTATAGGTTGGCTAGACGTACTCTCATCATATGCCATACTCAGGCCGATAAAAGACAAATCAGCGGCAATTATAGCAGGAATACTAGTTCTACCGTGGCTTTCCGCAAGTCATGCGAAGTGGCCAAGGCACAAAATATTTGAATGGCATACTCTCGAAAACCATTGAGCAAGCACCGTCACATCACCTCCGGCGATCACATAGAAACCTCATGCCACTAATAGGGAATTCATTGAACAAAATTCCGCAATTGGTGTCCACGGCGGTCATTCGTATAAATGAACCACAATCTACGTTCATCGAGAAAACAAAAATCACCTCGATTCAATGTGTACTTTAGACACATGTAGACAAAAACATAATACGGATCATAGTACATTAGTGAACGTACCTGGCACAACAGTAAATGGGATAAGGGAATGAAAATATAGATAAAACGATCAGACCACAACTAGACACTGATGTGGAGCATTACCAAGAAAAGATGCGCGCAGCATACGACCGCAATAACCAAAAGAACTACGTACACTTCCAGGAAGGTGACATTCTAATGGTCCGCTATCAAGGTGAAATGAATAAAATGACAGCACTATATGGCAGACCGTAAGAATAAGCAGGGAGGGTAATGGATATCTCGTCTGTGACCTTTCTGGTAAAATCCCGAAATAAACTAAATCCACTTTATCTGCTACTAATTGGACTCATAAAAAGGCCAACGTCTCGGAGGGATTCATCCCCGACAGTCAAATACCACAAACTGACGATACACAACTCTTCCCAATATTAAACCGTTAGCCGTTCAATTGAGGCGATGGATCCTAGGAGTACCTACTGCAATGTACAGATAGAGAGCTTGTCTTGTAGCACTTTTTAAAATAGTCTCGGATAAAAAATCGCCGTTGAGAAGCGTTTTCCCGAGCCAAAAAGTTGATGAAGACTCGAGTACAGGTCAAGACTGACTCCGATGATCGTGGTAAAAAGTCGTATAGATAGGCATTGAAGGAGGGCAAATAGTTTGTAAGAATAGATAGTGGTGGCAAGGTTTTCATCTTGACACCCTAAGGGACAATCTTTACCCTGTACTAAAACACCAACTCCAAGGAATCATAGTAACATAAGATGTCACTTTAAGATGTCACTTTCCGCCACTAAACAAGCTCAGAAGTGCAAAGTTAGGGGACTTTAGCGTCCAGGTACAGATTATCAGAAAAGCCAGTCCAGATACCATAACCACAGGATTAATAAATATTGAATTTGGTCTGGATCCAATATTCCTGATAAGTCATCTGAAATATAGCGGTAGAACCGGTATGAAATACTGGCCAAAACCCTATGATTCACACTTGAGAAGAGGTCGTATCTTATCAATATATTTCAAATTCTGCCAACGTATCTCACAAATTTCTCAAGCAGTATCAGATTGAGCACCGTGATCATCTCGTACGAGTTAATGAACTCTTGTTGGACCTATAAAAAGCTTACTTTCTATTTGTGCTAATACAAATTTTGGAAATCCTACACGTTTCTTTGTTTTCACTAGGAAATAGTGAGACCCCGTTGCAGCTAAAGCGACTGTATTCCTGATTTAAACGGTTTACCATAACATTCTCATGGAGATCATCAAGCATCGGTTTTGCACCATGAATATCTCGAATATGCCCTGGGAAAGCATGAATTTTATGTATTAAAGGACAACTTGGTCTAAAATACATAGAATAGGTGATGTACAATTTTGTAAACATCTCACTTTAGTGACATCATCTGAATCTCTAAAAAATACAATATTTTGAAATCTTGAGAAATTCTTAATATAGCACTAAGGGATTCTTATGACCCATAGTAGTTGGTTGGGTTTAGTGTCAAATGCATGCTTCAAGCTTCTTTTGAAGTCTTGTAGGATTTTTGGATTAGTATTTACACTAACGTTTTCTGTCCCGTCCAGCAGATAGGATTTATTCAGTCAAATAATTATAATGAACTTATAAGTTTATCTCGTGCTGACTGCTTTGATTCCACCCACAGTCACAGACGAAAAGGGACAGAGCTAATATATATACTATTTGAGGTATCAGGCTTATTGTAAATCTCAAGACGGGGAATATGATATTATCTGGCTAAGTCTGAACACCGCTATAAGGTTGAAAGTTCCATTTGTTTTTATACGAGCTTAAGCAATGCTCAGAAGGCTTGTTGGACAGTCTAAGGGAATCATTTCAGGCAGCCTTTAGTTAGAATCTAATAAAATGACCGGTTTTGACGGAAACGGGTCAGTATCCTACAGTTCAACTTTCTGTTGTATCTTTTAAGATTTCTTCCCTGTTACAAATAGATAGGCTTATGATAAATCTCAAGACGGAGAATATGATACTATCTGGCTAAGTCTGAACACCGCTATAAGGCTGAAAGTCCCATTTGTTTTTAGACGGGCTTAAGCAATGCTCAGAAGGCTTATTGGACAGTCTAAAGGAATCATTTCAGACAGCCTTTAGCTAGAATCTAATAAAATGTCCAGTTTTGACGGAAACGGGTCAGTATCCTACAGTTCAACTTTCTGTTGTATCTTTTAATTTCTTCCCTGTTACAAATAGATAAGAGGACTTGTATTTTATACTAAAGCTGATCCACAGTTCACGGAAAAGTTTTAAGTTTGTCAATTCAACACTTTTCAAGCCATTAAAGCAGAGTTAAAATTTATTACTCGTGGTGGCGTAGAGTGGTATGGCAATCATTCATGTCATGTTACAAATTTGATATTTGATATCGTGCTATTCCACAAATATCAAGCTATTCAGCCGCGAACTAGTAAAAGTGCGATACACTTGACCGGAGGAATCAATCAAATCAGGAAAGCAGTTGCAATTCACGCCACATACGCGGTAGGTGTAGTACACTGGTGACTTCTGGATACTAAGATTCTTCCCAAGAAAATACTGTAAGCCGGTTTTTGCACAAAGTCACAATCACTAGAACATCAGACCGATACGACCACCCTAGCCATGATCACATGAATGAACAAAACGATTGAAAATTTTATTTTGTGTATTCACATGGTTTGTGGATACTATACGATTTAACTTTTAGCACAAGCAACAGAGGTGATACGGGGACCCTCAGTTCATTGAATCCTTTATATCAACCCTACAGCTAGAAACCGTTACACATTAACTAGAAGTTACAGCGCTGAATTAAATATTGGGTTGCACTGCACAAATATGACCAAAAAGAGAAGCACACTATGTTTTTTTGAGGATATACTGCTTGATACTTGAAGCAAAATAGCGTGGTATTGTATCAAGAAACGGGCTGTATGTGCTACTCTAAATATTATAGCGCAATACACCAAGAGGGAGTGAATTTGCTTTGCTGATATACAAATCAATTTTACGTGCGATGCCTTGGATTGAAACGCGAAAGCTAAGGGTATGACAATTCACCCCTTCACAAGACAGGTCGGCGATGCCCAAGACGCAGTGCAGATGAAAATGTTTTGTAGCATAGTAAGATTGCACATCGTATCTGTTACACAAGAATAGAATCATCACATTCCGGCTATCGCCGTTAACATTTTCTTGGATCTCATTTCCCAAACTATGCCTGAGTCATCGCAAGCATCGGTGTATTGCGTTTTAACGTTGCATAGCTTAATTAATAAGCTCATATATTTTTTCTTCATACCTACTCACTATGGCGTATTTGAATGATGCAATATGGAGTGTTGTATTAAATATTTCTGGATGTAAAATAAGATTGCAGTCACTGACATTTCGATACTTCCCTGTGCACTGTGATCAAGTGAGTCACGGGTATACTAGATAATATAGAACATATCCTAATTCCAGATCTAAATTTCAGATCGGTATTGAATTTGTAGACATGGCGTATGAAGCGTAAATATACAGGACTATTATCGTGGGAACTCACAACCAGATTGAAAGCACCCAATCAGAGTAGCAAGGTCGTGCTTTGCCGCCCTGAAATTAAGTAATCAAAAATTTGTAACCCTGAAAGCTGCTATATCAGTCCTTGTTATCACACTCTCCCATATTGCGAGCGATTTCCCCGGCGCTTGTTTCATGCCCACCTTTTTCTTCTGGGATCGGCCAGCTTCTATTGATCTTCAGTTCTGTGCCCTGTTTTTGTCTGAATGTCTATGCGCCCATTTGACTGCTCATCTGTGCTTGCGTGTACGCACATATAACAGCTGTGTGCATGCCAGAGCATTTCTCTCCATCAAACTCGCAGAGCCATGATGGTCCCCCGACATGTGTCAATTGAACCATATGGCGGTTAAAGTGACTAGCAGCTGGTCGATTTACCAGCTACCATACCGAACGGCGATGAATCAAATTTGTGCGCTACTCACACTATAGAGAGCCAGCACTCGAGTACAAGGAAATGTCCGTAGTAGTTCCTTGGCGGTCACATAATAGTTCAACTCGACAAAATCAACAAGCGACGACTACGGTAGAGTATAGGAACTAAAGGCAATGCTGGCGGCTCGAGTTTAGCATTGCAACCTCAGCGCCCTTTTCTTTCGAATCACAGGTGCTGCGTGGTCGTTCCCCTAGCTGTCTACTGAACGAATAGGCATACCTATCAGGAAGAGTATATATCCCTGCTTTTATCTAATTATAGATTCGGAGTGATGATTCATTTTTTTAACCGATCTCTCCTGTGCTGAACGACCTGCATAGAGTTTTGTCTCGTCCACCCCTGTTGGTATTTACGTTTAAAACAAATCAGCTTTGTGTAAGCTAAGATCGAGGCCAATCCCCCCGTTGCGTTTATCACGTTCGCGGCGTGGTACTTCAACACACTTGCAAACCCTTACATATGACACAACTAAAAAGGGTATAGCACATGTTCGAGTTCAAAGTTTAAAAGTTATAAAGACAGGAAACACGTATACATTATGGGTCACACATCTATGATAGCACTCCGTTCACAACATGCCTTTAAACTTAACCGTTGTCAACCTATATACAAACCTGCAGAAATGGGTAAGGAGAAAAGAAGAGTCATTTGAACACAAACATACATGAACAATACTAACTAACGCGGATATATCATACGCAGCCATGTCACGCAGCACATACATACACAGAAACACACATACATTCACCGACCACAAAGTAAGCGAACGTCGGATAGACATCCACACAACCACCGAAACCAAAAGAGTGACAGAAGAGCAAAATGCCCGTTCCTCACACGCCATCGAGACTTAACATCATAAGACGACGAGGGGTTCAATTGTTGCGTCCATGCACACGCACACGCACACGCACACGGGTTTGTCTACAAACTCTCTCACCACAGTCGCGGACATTTGCAACAGCCGCGGACATTTAAAACAATCCATTCCTCCAGTCGTACAAGCAATGACACACAGGTGATGCTACATCAGCACTCACCTACATACACAGCGCCATCTCGTAAACGCTCATAAGTCCTCTCTGATGTCGTTGGTCTTCAGTTCGATATGCTCCGCCCTCGCATGGTCGCGTTCATCGGCCTGGGCCTTCTTGCGCAACTTCTCGGACTCATTTGGGACGGCTCGATTTGCGACAGATTTCTGTAGCCTGTCGTAAATGACGTCACCAATTTCGCGTATGCTGGACGTGAATGCTTCCTGTTCCACTCCCCCGGACACTATGTTTAATAATTTTCTATTGACGTCTCTGTTGCCCATGATATCGACATGGCCGCAAGAATAGTCCCCACCACGCAGATAGAGCGTGTGAGCTGTGAAGGGTAGCGGTGAGCAGTGTCAGTATTCAAGGTAACACACAGGCGAACCAAATCACTAACAGACTCCCGAAGTACACACCCCCAACGGGAGCCCAGACTGTTCTACACACCGACATACTCACTGCATACGTTTGTGGGGCAGCTCCACGGTGACTATCTTGACGCCATGCGGATTGTGTGAGGGTTTGCGCCATTGTGTTGCGCTCATATATCCCAGCGATGTCAGAGGGACGGTTCCATCGCCGCGTGTGGTCAGACACACCCCGGCAGTCCACCGGCCCGAACTCTTGGTGAAGTTGATATGGTACTTCAGATCCTCAGAGCTCTCATCGTAGTCGCGTGCCTGGGAGGGGAGTGTAGTGTGGTGTTGTAGGGTGTGTGGTGATGTGAGTGGAAACATTTATCGGTTCAGCGGTGTTTGAGTATGGCTGGACACATGACATCAATACAACTCAGCAGCTCAACAGCTGCGTGTCTGCGTATCTTAGGCCTACGCATGGGTCAAACGTATGGTTTGTAGGGGTATATACCCCCCGGCCTCAACAGTATAGATACGTAGACTGAATAGCCGGTACACAGGCTATATGATATGATATCATTACAATTGCACATAATTAAAGACTAAGGTTAATATGTTGGGCTAGGAGATCTAAAATGTATACCACCAATCTTGTTTACAAAACAGGGTTTTACGATTCTAGGGTTTAGGGTGTAGCTACTCTAAAACCGAAGAAGAATTTGAGTTGTCACCAGTTGTTAACCTTTTTGCTAATAACCATCTAAAATTTTCCTGAGACCACGCCACTTTAAGGTAATACTATCCCTCGGACAGCTTACACCCGCGATGAAGCTTCGGTATATAGTGAACGTACGGTCCAAAAGAAAATAAAAAGGGACTGTAACCAATTTGCAGGCTCCTTTGCATATACAAATCAGCTACAGATACGCATCAGCGTGAATACAAGCACACAAAGACGAACGGCTACAGCTCAGGTAACTCAATCGCCCCGCAATAAACCAATGAGAACATACGCTATTTGCGTATGATCTCTGAGTGTTGAACATTCACTGGAGATGGAGTACATGGTCATCTCAGGTGCGTATTACATATGGAAAGCCCTCAACCGTGTAAGAATACGATACAGGATCTTAACAAACACACACACATTGAGTCAGAATATCAAAACTCACCGCACCTGATAAGCGTAGGATCTCTCTGTGTATGACCCTTCACCATAGATGGAGTACATGGTCATCTCTGGCGCATTTGGTAGCGCCACTTCCAGCGGATTGGCCCATTTAAAGACTGCGTCATTGTTGTCTGTTGGCGTGACACTATAGACGGTACCACAACCCCGAGTAACAGCATCGCTTGAGATGTGTGTTGCATTGCAGAAGGTGGTGTGCACGCACAGCTAGTAGTAATTTCGAGGTGTGCACACACACCATTGTAGCATATACGAACGTGGTTATACAGTGTTCAAGTATACGTACGTATACGTGTCTTGTGGGACACCCGGATGGTAGAGTCAATATCAACGGGTTGGCGCATTCGAAGGCCCAAAGGGTTTTGTCTGATAGTGTAGCACAGCAGGTATCATACACAGCCAGAGGAAACCCTCCTTTTTTTGTGTGTGCGTGCGTGTGTGTGTGTCTGAGCGAGAGCTGGAAAACGAAGCAGTACAAAGACGCACCTGTATCCGAATGACAGGTTGCTGAGATGGTGTTGCATCGATGGGAACTGTGTTGGTAGGAACTCTGTGATCATCTCATCCACGGTCACGTTGGGCATCACTCGCGATGGCAAGCCTTCGCCTGAATGCGTTTTGTCTGGAAACAGTGATTGGGCGGACCGCAAAACGATTTATCATTTCTTTAACGGACTCAATAAAGACAACAGGGGGTATATGCCACAGCAGGTTTGAGATGTGTCTCCTAACATAAAACACATTTATCGGAAAGTTTTTACTTGTTCTACTGAAGAGTTTACTGACCACCGGTATTACGATAATATTGCGGGTTGGAATTAGTTGCATGCCTCTCGCGGTGGCAAGGGAGTTCTGGTTGCGAGCGTGATACATACATACATACAGCAAGAACAGCAAATGTGTCGATTGTTTACACCTCTGCGTTGTACTTTACAATATACAGGACGTAGTACATACAAGTATGTATATTAATTATAAGTATATATTTATATGTATATACGTACATATTTAGAAGTATATAAGTATAAATATATATAAGTATATATTATTATATCTGTATACAGCTATATAAATATATTATATTGAAAATACAGTAGCACATAGTCCACAGGGTAGTTGTCATTTCAGTAGGTAGAGCAATGTATATGTCTAGTAATAGCAGAGGTAGAAATATAATGGGTAGTAATACTGCTGGGCATAAACCCGCCACAGGCGCCTGTATAGCTATACTCATGGGGTGCGGGTGCGTCACAGGCTCCCCACACACTACACACAGCGTACTTTCACACACCTTCAGCTGAAACTCAGTCAAGTGGTTGTTATATAAGTACTCATACACGTATATATCATTTACATCTTTTGTTATATAAAACCCTAAACCCCAAACCCTATTACATGCTATATGTATATACCTGTCGTTAGAGGTGTAGTCCTACAGACATCTGTTATCATATAAAACCCTAAAACCCAAACCCTATTACATGCTATATGTGTATACCTGTCGTTAGAGGTGTAGTCCTACCGACATCTGTTATCGTATAAAACCCTAAACACTAAACCATAAAACATGTGTTATCTTTGTATATCTGAAGTCAGAGGGTTAGTACATCCAAGCATAAAACCTAAACCCGAAACCCTAAAGCATATGTTATCTTTGTATATCTGAAGTCAGAGGGTTAGTACTTCCAAGCATAAAACCTAAACCCTAAACCCTAAAGCATGTGTTATCTTTGTATATCTGAAGTCAGAGGGTTAGTACTTCCAAGCATAAAACCTAAACCCTAAAGCATGTGTTATCTTTGTATATCTGAAGTCAGAGGGATACAGCATAAACCCTAAACCCTAAAATATGTGTTATATCTGTATACCTGTAGTCAGATGGGTAGTACTACCGCTCATAAACCCTAAACCCTAAAACATGTGTTATATGTGGATACCTGTAGTCAGAGGGGTAGTACTCCCGAGCATAAACCCACCACACGCGTCTGTGTAGCTGTAGTCGTCGGGTGCTGGTGCATCAGAGTCTCCCCACAGAGCGTTGCCGCCCTTTGGCAACAGATTAAAGAGCGAGCCCCAAGTCTTGTAGGTGTTCACTCGTTGCAAGCGGGAGAAGGGGGTCATATCCACTATATCACTTATCCTACCTGTTGATAATAGTTGGTACGTGCATGTAGAAGCCAATAAATGTAATAATTTAAATAAGAAATGTAAGACTTGAATTGATAAATGTAATACTCATAGTGAAACACGTGATGCATATGGTAAAATAAGCAATACTCATAGTAGTAAATGTGATACTTATCACAATTCATGTAATACTGTTCATAATAAATGTAGTACATTTATTGATAGTAAATGTAGTACATATAATAATAGATAAAATACTTATATCAACATATGTATTACTTCTAATGCTTGATGGTATTATTTATGCAGCCATTTACCTAACAGACTCGTGTCCAAGAATTCGCCACTTGCCATTGAAGCAGCGGCTTTGGGAAGACCAAGCATCGCACCAGCTGCCCAGAAATACAGTGTGTTAATCTATAACAGTTGTATGAGGAGGATGTAGTACAATATATATATATATATATACGTATAAACATATCTATATATACAAAGATAC